TTCCCCTCCCCCATTTCTGAAGAAGGGTCTAGACCCGAAACGTCAGACTTCCTGCTCCTCTGATGCTGCTTGGCCTGCTGTGTTCATCCAGCTCTACACCTTGTTATCTCAGATTCTCCAGCATCTGCAGTTCCTACTATCTCAGAAATGCACGGGTATTATATCACTAAAATGCTTCCCCACTGTCGGTGCCAACACCTCCCAGCTTCAATCCCTAGAACCTGCATTGCACTGTCCCTTGTCGGACCATCTACGTGGTGGCATAAAAAACTCTCCTGTATACATTTCATGAAATTTTTCCCCTCTTAACCCTTTACACTATGATTACCCTAATTAATATTGGGACAATTGAAATCGCCTAATATATTTACCTTATTATTTTTACACACCTTAGCAAATTGCCTACACATTTACTCCTTTATTGCCCTCTGACTGTTTAGGGGCATATAATGCACTCCTAACAGTGTGATACCCCCAAGTTCTTCCTAAGATTTACCCACAAAGCCTCATTTAACAACACCTCTAAGATATTATTCCTGCTTACTATAATAACTGACTCCTTCATTAATAATGCCACACCACCTCCACTTTTACGCTTTCCTTTGTCCTGCTTGGATCCAAGGTGTTCCCCCTCCTCATCTTGTTCCTAAAAGGTAACAAGGCAATGCTTTCAAGAGTCAAGCAAAGGGAGCAAAAGACAAATGATTTGGCTATGATTGCATAATTTTCTTGTGTTGGTTGCCTGCACAGTAAGGAGACAAAGCTGAAAGCAGGAGGTTATCACACAGCCACTGGTTGCAGAACAGTCTTGAACCATAGTTTGCTGAAACGAAGGTCTTGATGGATGGTTAATAAGTAACAGTGTTTACGAGGACAGAATCTGAACTTTGCTTTGTTGCTAAGTAAATTGCCAACAGATGGAGCTGAATGTGACAACTGTCAGCCAGCAGCCTTGCTGCAGGGAAACCCCAATCCAAGTACGGCTGTAGCAACCTTACTTTGTTGTTACCTGCTGTCTTATCGAGGAAGTACGCCAGCAAACAACGCATGACAGCCTGGTGACAGATGACCAAAACATTTTCTTGTCTCTCTAGCTCCATGATTACCGGCTCCAGGCGCTGTACCAGATCTTCGTAAGACTGAAGGATAAAGACCAGGTGTTATTGATGGCTAAAACGCAAATTCTATCCAACGTCCACCCTTAGGATTTCAGAGATTCACACCACAGAAAGAAGGCGTTAGATCAGGCAGGTCAACAGAAACTAATGTTAAAACTATGGGTGAAGATTTCAATTCCAATGTTCATCAACCCATCTACATTTCTGTGTGTTCTAGAGCCAGCAATGAATAATGGCTTTGACAGGAATGTTACCATCAGACAGGGATATTATTATATAATCTTCAGAACTGCACATTGTGGAGTCCTGTGAAGTAAACCCATTACTATTCCTTGCCCTCTGTCTCCCCTGAAACACTTCCTCCTGCTGGGGTTTGCTCCCTAGCCTGGCTCTGACTCCTAGCCTGCCAACATGACGAGTTTGTTACTCTAATGGAAATCTCGGTGGTAAAGACCAATTTCATTCTACTTTCTGTATTTTTGATTGTGGACTGATTTGGGTAAAAGACTGTTATAAAATCAAGAATTGTGGAAGAAACTGCAGTACGTTTTAAAAACAAGTAACTGAAACTCATTATAAGTTGTGTTTACTGCGTTGCTCAAGCAGTGGGGGAGGTGTGAATGGATGGCACAGCACCAGAGAGTGCGTGAACGGAGTGAGATTTGGCTGGTAAGAAGTACTGATGATGCATGTGATGCAGTTGTGATCAGTTGAGGATGCCAAAGGTCATCAGCCTCACAACTCTCTGACTGGTTCCTGGGTAGCTGCACAGTTTGTGGGTGTGAACAATACTGGAAGAAGCCTTTGGACTGCTGGGAAGGAACATGATTTGTCACTCTCTCTCTGTAGTAAAAGTAACTGAAGCCTGAAGAAATCTGGTAACTTTTGCAAATCAGTTGTTGTAAACTATTGCTTAAGAGACTTTGTAGTTAGTGTGCCAATCACCCTGTGCCTTGTGTAAACCGAAAAACATTACAGAAGGGAAGTCGAGAACAGAAAAGACCTGGCAATCCAAAAGAAACATCAGTGAACTCTGATAGCTGGTGTTATTGAACTGTGGACTCCACTTTATTCTTGTCTGTGTCAGGATCTTAGAAAGAGTTGAGAGTTTTAACTAGTTGAGCCATCTATTGATCATTCATAGCTTGGTTACTTGTGACTAGAATTTAGTCTTTTGTAATAAACAGCAGTTCTTGTTTAGTACAGGAACCTGGTCAATGTTTTCTGTTAACCTGATTCCAACAGACAGGTAAATCAGGAAATGGGCACATTTTGAATAAATCACTAACTCTTGTGCTGTCCCAGGAATAGTGGAGCTTGAGAATCAGTGCACATTCCCAACTGGGTCATTACATGAAGAAGAAACACAGAAGGCTGATAAAGGAATGCAGGTGGGCATTTTTGATATGGATTTTAAGAAGATGTTTTAACAAATTACCCTACTCAGTAATTTTACCAACAACCTGGGGTGGTAGACAATGGTGTTCCCCAAGGGTCAGAGGCCGGACCAATGCTTTTTTGTTCACTGAGTGATGGAAGATGCAAGATTTATTTTTCAAATTTGGATTTCAAAATAGTGGCATGTGGGTCTTAGTTAATTATGTGAAGTATTTTCTTGAAAATAGGAAGATCAGAGAATCCTTCCAGAGCAATGGACCTAATCCACCATTGCTCAGAAAGCATTGCCTTTCACCCTTGGGGCAAGTTAATGGGAAATTATCCACAATATGCTGGTTTATGATGGTAAGTGAACATTGAAGGCTATTACCATAGATTTTCAATTCAAAGCAAACAAGTATTGATTTTAGTATAGGAAACAAGAAATTAAAAGTTTTTGGGACAGTTCAAAGAAACCTGACTGGGATCAGATGCAAGTTTAATTCTCTCCCCTTTAGTGTGCTCAGCTTCCAGGTCAGAAGAATATGGTCAGAAATGTATAGGTTATTAGAGGCTGAAAAAGTTTAAGCTCTCAGTTTTATGAATATTCATGCAAGAAGACATGTACAGGATAGAACTGGGGACAATCAGTTCTCAGCATCACAAAATTGTTTTGCTGCCAAAAGGATGCCTTTTGGTCCATTATGTCTGCACCAATTCTATTACCAAGCACCAGTCTCCTGCCTTTTCCCCATATCTCTGCACACTATTTCTATCCAAATAAACATATAACGTCCTCTTGAATGCCTCAATTAAATATGCTTCCACCACATTTCCAGGCAGTGCATGGGGTTAGATACAGAGTAAAGCTTCATCTACACTGTCCCATCAAACATTCCCAGGGCAGGTCCATGTCAGATGTTGTTGTATATTGTAGGGGAAGGCAATGGCCTTATGGTATAATTGCTAGATGCAGACCTAGTTCAAATCCCACTGTGGCAGATATGGAATGTGAATTCAATAAATAAAACATCTGGAATTAAGAGTCTAATGATGACCATGAAACCACTGTCGATATTTGGGGGAAAACCTATCTGATTCACTACTGATCTTTAGGTAAAGTGATTGCTGGCTTCACCTGGACTACATGTGACTCCAGACCCACAACAATGTGGTTGACTCTTAACCACCTCTGGGGCAACTAGGGATGGGCAATAAATGCTAGTCTAGCCAGCAACATCCATGTCCCATGAATGAGTAATTCTCAGTGCAACCTAATCCTGGCCCACAGTGTAACCAAACCCTGCAGTGTCACCTATGCTAGACTTTGCTGAATTACAGAATGGCCCCCAATTTCAAGTGCACACAATCAGGCTGCTCACAGTCACTGGCCAACAGTCCGAGGAAGGTCTTGTGGTCATGTCTCTCCCTTTGGGCCAGGGGTTCCGGGTTTAAGTTCCATTTGTCGGGGGGCGGGGTGGTCCTGGAAACGTTCAAACAGGTTGATACAAAATAACCTGAACAGCCCAAATTTTCCAAGGTGAAATGAATTCATGATGTCTGACAATAAATGGAGACTGGCTAATTAAATTTAATTGCAGCTTGTTTGCTGAAGGAGCCAGCTCTGACAGACTCCCCTCAGCTTGTACATAAATTTTCAACAAGGCTCATCAAGTGACTTTCACCAATTACTGAGTTTTACACATGGATGCAGTTGTAATGGCTTGGAAGAATCTCAAAATGTATTTTTCTGCCTGAATTCTTGCTCAAGTATTACAATTTCTCAGCACTCTCAAGCCCTCTATCTAATTAACAAGTTCACTCTAGCCCTGACCTACATTATTCAATCTATTAAGCTAATAGTAAACTCACTGCCAAGCTCTCCTGTGCTGAGTCAGCACAAAGAATCTGTTTACAACGAGCTTGGTATTACCGTCAACATGCTGTTGGGGTATTTCCATGGCAGACTGAACTGTAAACATTCATTTCTATTGGTCGTACCAAAGAAAGGAAGGTTTTAATTTCGACTGTCTGTCAGCATCAGGATGGTAGAAGCTGCTTTAAAGGAGATAATATCCTTCTGAAGGTTTGTCACTGTGGGAAAAGTAAATGAACCACCAAATAACCTGTTTACGTGGAGAGAAACAAAATACTGCAGATGCTGGAAAGCTGAAACAAGAACACAAACTGCTGGAGAAACTCCGCAGGTCTGGCTGCATCTGTGGAGAGAAAACTGTCTGATATGAGTTTTTTTCAGAACTGGTTAGGTTCAGAATTCAAAGGCAGGAAGTAATGGGGAAGGGCTGGGGGGAGCTGGGATGAGGGATTGGGCTGGTAGAGGGAAGTCATTGGTCAGCAGCGTATGTTCTGCATGGCTGAAGTCAATCATTGAGGTAGAAGAAAAGTTTATCTTACAGTACAGAGACAATGGGCTGAATGGTCACCTTCTGCATTGTAACAATTCTGTGATTCCTGGCCTTGGGTGTTCTCAAAACAATTTTTTTAAAATTCATTCATGGGACATGGATGCCTCTGGCTAAGTTAGCATTTATTGCCCATCCCTAATTGCCCAGAGGGCAAGTTAGAGTCAACCACATCTTGCATCTGGAGTCACATGTAGGTCAGACCAGATAAGGATGGCAGATTTCCCTTCCTAAAGGACATTAGCAAACCAGATGAGTTTTCCCCTGACAATCAACAATGGCTTCACAGTCATCATTAGTCTCTTAATTCCAGATTCTTTATTGAATTCAAATTCAACTATCTGTTGTGACAGGATTCAAACCCGGGTCCCCAGAACATGAGCTGAATTTCTGGATTAATATTTTAACAATTATACCACTAGGCCATTGCCTTCCAGGTCATGCAGCTCCCAGTCTCCCTCCACTACATGTTTCCCTGATCCTGACGACCGCAACGAAAAAGTATTAGTGTACAGAAGACTAAGCACATGGCATCAGGAGTAATATCTGGTCATTGACTGAGAAACAATTGGCAAGCAGGAAACAAAGGGGGAATAAATTGGTCATTGAAGAGTAGAAGCCAGTGACTAGTGGATACTGCAAGGATCAGGGTTTGGACTCCAGCTATTCACAATATATACTAAAGACCTGGATGAGGGAAATGTTTCCAAATAAAAACTGGAAGAATTGTGGATGCTAGAAAATCAGAAACAACAGGAATTGCTGGAAAAGTTCAGCAAGTCTGGCAGCATCTGTAGACAGAAATGAGAGTTAATGTTAACTTATGTCTCTCCACCGATGCTGCCAGACCGGCTGAGCTTTTCCAGAAATTTCTGTTTTTGTTACAACATTCCCAAGTTTGCTGATGGCACAAAACTAAGCCATTTTGTGAAGGGGATGTAAAGAGGCTTCAAGGTGATTTAGAGAAGTTGTGTGTGTGGGCAAACACAGGGCAGATGCAGTACAATGTGGCTAAATGTGAAGTTATGCACTTTTACATGAAAAACAGAAAGGAAAAGTATTATTTAAATGGTGATGAATTGTGAAATGTGGTTGTACAAAGGGATCTGGGTGTCTTTGTACAGTCAATGAAAGCAAACAGGCAGGTGCAAGTAAACATTTAGAAAGGTGAGTGGTATATTAGCTTTCATTACAAGAGGATTTGAGTTTGTTTTTATTCATTTGAGGCATGTGGGTGTTGCTAGCTGGCCGGCCAGCTTTTACTGCCCATCCCTAGTTGCCCTTGAAGAGACTTTGCAGGGATTGGTATAATTGAATGGCTTGCTAAGCAATTTCAGAGGGCAACTGAGAGTCAACCACATTGCTGTGGGTCTGGAGTCACATGGAGGCCAGACCAGTTGAGGGTAGAAGATTTCTTTCCCTGAAGGACATCAGTGAACAAGATGGGATAACAAGGTGTACAGCTGGATGAACACAGCAGGCCAAGCAGCATCAGAGGAGCAGGAAAGCTGACGTTTCAGGCCTAGATCCTTCTTCATTTCTGAATTTTCTGGGGAGGGGTCTAGGCCCGAAGCATCAGCCTTCCTGCTCCTCTGATGCTGCTTGGCCTGCTGTGTTCATCCAGCTCCACACCTTGTTATCCCATGGTTTCATGGTCATTGGTAGATACTTAATTCCAATTTAAAAAAAAAAAAATGAATTCAAATTCCACCATCTACCATGGCGGGATTCAAACGCCGGGTTCCCAGAAGATTGGCTCAATTCCCGGATTAATAATCTAGTGATAATACCACTAGGCTAACAACCTCCTCCTAGTTTAGAAATAGGGATTAATTACTGCACTTATACAGGGCCTTGGAAAGTCCAGACCTGGAGTATTGCAGGCTGTTTTGATCTCCCTGCCTAAGGAAGGATATACCTGCCAATGAGGGAGTGCAGAGGAAGTTCAAGAGGCTGTTACTGGGGATATCAGAACTTGGTCACATGAGGAGAGATTGGTTCAATTAGGTCTGTATTCACAAGAGGTTAGATGGAGGATTGGGAATCTGATTGAAATGTAATTCTAACAGGGCTGGACAAACTAGATGCATGGAGGATATTGTCCTTGGTTGTGGGGTGGGGTGGGAACGGTGTGGCAGTATCTAGTTTCAGGACACATTCTCTGGATGCAGAGTGGCCTGTTTAGGATTGAGACAAGGAGAGATTTTTTTTCTCTCTCATGGGGTGGTGAGCCAGTGAAATTCACTACCACAGAAGGCATTGAGGTGAACTTACTGAATCTTTTGAAGAAAGCAGATAGATTTCAAAAGCTACAAGTGTCAAGCAGCATGGAGGCAGCTGGGATATGGTGTGTGATAGCAGATCAGTCATGACCCTGCTGAATAGCAGAACAAGCTCAAAGGGCTGAGTGGCTTACTGCTTCTGATTTCTGTTAGAACAGAAACCACTTTAAGGCTGCAGCTGGAAACCTGAAGTTTGCCAACTTTCCAAGACAGGTGAAGTGTTTGGTTTAAATCACTGGCACAGAACAGTTCTGAGCCTGGAGACATATCCCACCAGGAACCTGAATCAAAGGCACTGTGTTCAATGCTGCTCGAGCACATCCTCCCTGGTTTTGACACCACACAAAAGGTGTAGCATTCTGTTACCCACCTCACCCTTTGGATAGCGATATCTGTATTTGTCTTGATCTCTTAGTGCAAATTCAGCTGGGTAGTTCATCTGAATCTCCTCATATGTCATCTCCTCACAGACACCCTGGAAAAACATTTCACAACTGATGAGGCTTAAGTTGAGACTAAAATTCATCTCCCAAATCCCAGGAACCTCGGTAACATTCTTCCCTGACAAACCACACTGTGATTTACAGTCTGATCAATTAACTAGTTGTTCACAGACATTTTTTACCAATTAAGTTTTTATTACATAGAAGGGAAAGTGTCAATATCTTATTCCAAGTTGGTTTCATTGCATAATGTTATAATCATTAGCTCTGGCAATTTTGAGTTGATACTCTCAGTTTAGATCAAGCTTCCCAACAGACATTATCTATATCACTTCTTTCAGAAGTAGTGGCTTCATCTTTGCTGCAATGAAACAAGACAGTTACTGCAGTGCTCAAAAGGTTGGCTACAAGAAAATGTAGCTCTACTGAACTCACCGCATCAATTTCATTCAATATTTTCCACTGCTCATAAGGCACCTTCAAGGCTTCCGCAGTCTGGATTGTCCTTTTCATCTGACTTGTCCAGACCTTCAAGTCCCTTATGTTCTGCTCCTGTATAAACTTTCCTAACGATTTGGCAAACTAGCAAAGACAGAAAAGAGTTTAGAAGCAAGACACTGATTTCACCTGATGTCAATTACAATAACAACTACATAGACATGGCCCCGTCACCATTACCTTCCTGAACAGTCTCTCCTGGAGAAGGTAATCTCCTGGGAAATCCCATTATCTTCTCAAACAGTCTCTCCTGGAGCAGGTGATCTCCCAGGATCCCACTACCTTCCTACCTTGTGGATACTGAACCTGCCCTCAGTGCCAATTGAGATCATTCAGTGGGTGATCAATGCCACAGAAGCTTGGTCCCTCACTGGTGTGTATTTGCTGTGCAGAGATCCCAACAACAATTCCTTTTGGGGGCAGCGGGATGGTCACTGAAAACCAACTAAACACCCTTACTATGACACTGACCCTCCTCTGCAATCCTCTCTCCTTGGCCAGGATCCCTTGCGATCCTGGGTGTAGTACTGGCTGCAGCAATTTCATGAGGTCTTCAGCCAATAGTTCCAAATGGACTATAGTTGTTCTAGGTGGCACATCATCATCACCTTCTCAGGGGGCAAGTAGGGACAGGCAATCACAGAAATCCTACAGTGTGGAATCAGGCCATTCAGCCCATCAAGTCAACACCGACTCTCTGAAGAGCATCCCACCCAGACCCAATCTCCTAACCTATCCCTGTAACCCTGAATTTCCCATGGCTAACCCACCTAGTCTGCACATGCCTGGGCACTATGGGGCAATTCAGCATGGCCAATTCACCTAGCCTGCTCACCTTTGGACTGTGGGAGAAAACCAGAACACCCGGAAGAAACCCTCGCAGACACGGGGAGAAAGTGCAAACTGCACACAGACAGTCACCCGAGGGTGGAATCGAACCCGGGTCCCTGGTGTTGTGTGGCAGCAGTGCTAACCACTGAGCCACCGTGCTGTGCCAGTCCAACAACTCCCACATCCTGGGAATGTGCAAAAGAAGACCATTGTCTCCATAAAGTACCATCTGATGGCTCTCCTAATGACTCAAGTAAGGAGCTGAACCATGTAACTCAGCGACAGCCTTGCATTGATCACTGTGCGATTGACAGCAATGGTGCTCTTCCAACCTCCAACCACTGTGTGAAAGGGACCTGCAGCAAGGATTCAGCTTCCTGTTTAATGTCAGTCCATTTTGTTGTTGTATGGGAACAGAACTAGGCTAAACCAAACTCTGACCATGGACAATACTTACTGAATGGGCAGGGATAAACAGCACTTAAAGACCCAGGAGATGTTTGCAGTGCCAGCCTTAGGGAGTGGGCAATGGCTTTGATGAAATGCAGGAAAAAATAAAAACTGACAAAAAAAAATGTACATTTCAGTTCACACAATTCCATGGCTTCCTTCAAATTATTATTTATAGAACATAGATACAAACACTCACTCCCAAGTTAATCAAAGTAGTGACAGGAGCAGACCCAGGCAGGTTAAACATGCACTGCAGCAATATTCAGGGTTCTCAGATTCCCAGTAAACAGCAATGCTCAATGTGAAATGGTATTGATGAACGGTATCATGTGTCCACCACGAACAGGACACATAGAACTGACACTGCTGGTCCAGCTTGATCCATGTCCGAGAATCCAAACTACAGCATCCACTACTGCAGAAAATCTCAGCAAATTCAAACTCAAAATCTGTAGACTACGCCTTCATTTAAATAAATATGTAACAAGTATTTCTTATGAAACGTGAACCAGAGGATCCTAAATGATGGAGCAGTTCTATCCAGTCACTGGTGAGAAACAGAGACTTTGCCAGTTGTGGGGATGTGTCACAATTTGAACTCACCTGTTTGCCTCGGAAAGAAAGTCCCGAGTCACCACCGATCCTGCCCTTCAGATTCAGGTCACTCTCGCCATGGCGACAGAGGTAGATTGATCGAGGAGTTATGTGGATGTTCATGAGGTAGTAAACAATTTTGCTTTGAATATGATCAAGTACGTGATTGACAAGGTACCGTCTTCCAACATCAATGATTTTAATAAAGGAAAGATCCCTTTGAGTTAAAACAAAAATACAAACATATAAACCACTCAGACAAATACAGAAACTCTCTCAAACTCTCGAATAAATGCAGATAAATGTGCACATACCGTGTTAGCATGGAACTACAGGGAGGGATGCAGGGCAATATATAATTTCTTTTGGAACAGGAAGTGGATGGTGAGTGGTTTCTGACTTAGGCGAAGGCTGTGCCTCTGAATCAGCTTTAGGACCATGGTTCATTTTGATGTACATTAATGGCCTAAACCTGGGAGCACATGGGGACCATTTCAAAGTCTGCACAGGTGTTAAAAGGGTCTTGTGATGAGGTGGTAGTGTCTCTAGCTCTGAGCTAGGCGGATAAGAACACAGGCAGCCTGGAAAAATTAAAGGCAGACACTAGCTGCAGTGGGAAGATTGAGGCGAGGCAATATAAAAACGTAAGAGATGCTTAAATAGAACGCATATCTTATAAAGGGGATGAAGGAACACAAAAAGATCTGGAGTTGATATATTCATATTTTAAAGTAACAGGATGATTTGGCTATAAATAATATACAGGATTCTGGGTTTCATTAACAAAGGCATAGGGAGCTAATGGGTAGCAGTTAATACTGAAGTATTACAAATTATTGGCTAGGTCTCAGCTACAGCTGTATTATCCAATACACTGGTCAAATTTCCTATCTGTAAATTGAAATTCAGATATGGCACCTGGGCCTATGCTGCACCAAGTCACCATTTTTGTGGTAACAGTACGGGCCTCGCAATCCAGACACCCAGGATAATTCTCTGGGTCAGTCTGTGGAACTCATTGTCACAGAGGGTTAGGGCCAAATCATTCAGTGGTATTTAAGTCAGAGATAGGTAGGTTCTTGATTGGAAAGGGAATCAAGTGATACTGGGAGAAGGCAGGAGAATGGGTTTGAGAAACATATCAGCCATAATCAAATGGCAGAGCAGGCTCAATGGGTTAAACACCCTAATTCTGCTCCTTTATCTTATGGCCTTATGGTCCCAATCCCACCACAGCAGGTGATGGAAGTTAAATTACAAACATATGAACAAGGAATAACAGTAGGTTACTTGGCCGTTCGAGGCAGCTCTGTCATTCAATAAGAACATGGCTGATGGGATTTTAAACTCAAATCTACAATCCTGCACAACCCCATGAATCTTTCAGCCCCTTGGCAATTAGCAATGCACAATAAATGCCGGCCACACGTAGCGAATAAGTAAAAGATCAATAGCTGACACTAATCAATCCCACTGGGCATTAAGTAGAAATGTCTTCATCCAGAGAGTGGGAAGAATGGGACAATTACTTCCACAGGGAGCGGTCAAGATGAATAGTATCAGTACAGTGAAGGGGAAGGGAGACAATGTGCGAGAGAACATGAAGAGAAATAGTGATAGGATGAGGAAAGATTTGCATGCATCATAAACACCAATATGAACAAGCTGGGCTAAATGGCATGTTTTGTGTGATAAAAGCCATGCCATGTGGTATAACTGGGTCATACTAGGCACCCGTGCAACTCCTAACGTACTGCAGCTCGATGCGACACAAACTGCGCCAGGCAGCAGATGACTGAGGTTTGTAAAGAAGCTGCTGCTAACAATGTTCTTGCAAGAAACAGTTACATTAGCGTATCTATTCCCTTCACATGATTCACGGAACTGAATGTGAAGACAACCTGAAGCTAAATAAAAATGTTTAAACAATACATCAGAATATGAAATACTTTCCAATAAAACAGCAAAACATGGTTAATGGTTCAGGCAAACAGCAATAGAGTAAAGGCACCCAGAGACAGAATAACAGCAAAGAAAAACCAGGTGGACAAACATGCAAAAGATCCATGGACAGTGGGATTAGACTGAGTGGGATATTAAAGGGAGCGGGGAGTGAGGGGGACAGTGGGATTAGACTGAGTGGGATATTAAACGGTGTGGGGAGTGAGGGGGACAGTGGGATTAGACTGGTGGGATATTAAAAGGGAGCGGGAGTTGTGGGTGTGTGGGGTTGGGCAGCACAATATTGAAGGGTGCCTTTGTATTCTCAGTTGGCAATATACACAGAGGCTGACATACCGATCTGACACTTCATCCAGAGTTTGGTAAGTGTTTTGATAACACTCAATTCTTTTCAGGAAGTCAGATATCGCTTCATCGTTGTTACAGTCACTGTAGTCTGGACTGCCCAGTTTCACTTGCTGCAAGGAGTAAAGTGTAAAAATTAGGAATGTGTTTCAGAGACATTAAATTAACCATACCACCTGCCAACCCCCACATTCCCTCCCATACCATGATCCTCTAGCTGCACGGTGACCCCTAGTTGCACAATGACCCTGAGCTGTTTAGAGAAACCAATGAAAATTATTTGCCAGTACATAGTATGACTTCATTGCCAATTAGGCCCACTTTCCTGTCAGCTACAAAGACAGCATGAATTGCTGACAGGGATCGGTTTGTCTGTGATTGAAGTGTTGATGACAACAACAGGACGTTGATAGATCAGGTGAATGTAGCGATGGATTTTAAACAAAAGCAAATGAGAGATTATCCATTTCAGACCGAAAATGGATGGATCAGGGTGTTTTTTTAAAAGAAGGCACAAAGTTAAATAGAATAGATGTCAGATGAGATTTGGGGGTTCAGGTGCATAGCTCTTTAAAATTCCACGAACAGGTGCAGAAAATAGTCAAGGCAGCTAATGGAACACTGGCCTTTATATCTGGAGGACTGGAGCATAAGGATGCAGACTTTACATAAAACCCTAGTTGGACCCACAGAGTATTGTGAACAGATCGAGGTATCACACCTTAGAAAGGATGGTTTGGCCCTGGAGGGAGTTCATCGCAGGTTTACAAGGATGATACCTGGACTTCAGCCGTTAAGTCATGATGAGAGATTAGACAAATTAGGTCTTTATTGTCTAGAATTTAGAATGTTAAGGAGTGAAATAGTCAAGGTTTTCAGGAAATTAACAGTGAAAGACAGGTTAAAGATACAGAATTTTCACTGGTTGAAGATCTTACAACCAGGGCACAGTCTGAGAATTAGGGCCAGGCCATTCAGGAAAGATGTTAGAAAGCACTTCTACACACAAAGAGTAGTGAAGGTTTGGAACTCTTGTCCCCAACAGCAATCAATACTAATTCAATGGTTAAATTTAAATCTGATATAGACAACTTTATTTTTTATTAAGCAAGGGTATCAAGGGATATGAGTCCAAGGCAGGTGTACAGAGTTAAACCACAGATCAGCCATGATGTTATTGAAGGGTGGAGTAGACTTCAGGAGCTGATTGGTCTACTGCTGTTACACTTTCAACATAAGAACACTGAGTATTTTACACTTTACAGAAGTTGTGCCCACCAGGTACAGGAGCTGACACAAAGATTGTTCAATGCCCGGGACAAGGGGGTCTTCAAAAAGCAGTCCACGCCTCGATCAGTGACATAGAAAACAGTTAATCAGACAAAACCCACAGCCATCAATATCCAACTTACCACAATGTTTGTCTCAATAACTTCGGGATCTTCACAGACCGACTCAACAAAAAACACCTTGGATCAGAAAGTGGATCAGAGAATCAGTCATCAGAGGGGAAGGTGGAAATCAATTTCATAAACTTTAATCATTCCACTGCCAGAAACTCAACAAAACAGAAATGTAACAACTTGATTCTGGGTTCCTCTATCAAATACCACATTCAAACATATCCTTTTCCATAAATGTTTACAGCAAATCTGGGTGCCTTTGGGTCAGCATAGACAATATGGGCCGAATAGCTCCTTCTGTGCTGAATCATTTGCATGGTTCTATGAAAAAAATCATAGAAATCCCACTCTCCCCCTCACTCCCCACTCCCTTTAGTATCCTACCCAGTCTGATCCCACTCTCCCCCTCAGTCCCTACTCCCTTTAGTATCCCACCCAGTCTAATCCTGTACACTTTATAAATATTTTGTCCTGCTATTCTCTACAATTTTATAAAGATACAGGGATTGTAGGTGGCAGCAGACATTCTGTTTTAATATTTTTCCACAGGATTATGGGTGTCGCTGGCTGGACCAGCATTTATTGCCAATCCCAAATTACCTTGAGGGCAGTTATGAGTCAATTATATTGCTGTGGGTCCAGAGTCATATGTAGGCCAGACCAGGTAGGGATGGCAGTTTCCTTCCCTAAAGGACATCAGTGAACCAAGAATCTGTACCTAGATACCTTGGTATCTTGATGGTGCCATAAGTGGCGACTTGTAAACTTTTCACCGTGCTCAGGTGAGTACATATGACAATAAACCTAATTCAATTCAAATAAAGTATAAAAATGGACAAGTACAAAATTATACAAAACAAAAAAAAGTGAGGAGACTGAGGTACAAGGGCACACGACAGAGGGGGCATTGGCTGGGCTGGATTGACACGATGGAAAAGACGGATGCACCCTGTAGGTGGGAACTCCATAACTGGGAGGCAGGTGGCCCTGACACAGTCACTGCAGTAACACACAGGAAGAGAGTTTACTGCCATCTCTCTGTTGGGCAACGTAAGCACTGGGCCGAATAGAGGATTCATAGCCAGAGGCACAATGAAGGAATATAGTAAACGCTAGCAGCTATCGTCTTTGCATGGATTTACAGCTTGACAGCAGGAAACAACAGCACCTGCAATGTCACAGGGTGGACCAGCATTGACTAACCACTGACCTTGTACCCGTTCTGCTCAGCAAAGTTTAGGATGATGTCTCTCCGTTCCCGTGTTGTGTTCGTGGCATCAAAGACCTGACAGGAGATTAATAAAAGGCATTTCAGAAAATACATAAGAGGCGGCAGGGGCTGGTGGTATGGAGGGTTTGGGAAGGGGGTACAGGTTAATAGGGAGCATTCTGGGAGGTGTACAGTGTAGGGTATGGAGAGATACAGGTGGGTTACAGGGGGTGTTGTAAGTGGCAGGTGTCGAGGGGTTTAGTACAGGTTATGCAGCAAGAGTACAGAGAGTGTTAAGGGGGTGGGAGGTGGCGGGGGCTTTGAGCTCCCATAGTGAGGGAACTCTTTGCTAAATAGGCTCTGGACAGACCATGGCATTTGTGCAGCAAACACTAACCTCCCTCCAAGGCTCCAGTACAAACTGCTTGGGCACTCATGGAGATTCAGAAACAATGCTCCCCATTAATTAGGAGGCTCCCATGACAGTCTGAGGGGCTGACTAGTCATCTTAAACTCTGCAAATGAAGAGGCAATCACATCTCCAGAGATTTGCATTCACTAAACAAACTAAATAAATGAAAAATTGGGCTGATGTTGCCTTTTTGAAAGAGGGCTTAGCCAACTTCACTCCAACATTATACATGGGTCAGTTTCCAGAAATTGAGTGATCCTATTTCATGTCCTGCCAATGCTCAAAATGAAAACATGTCCTCATCTACACTTTAGATGTTTTTCCAACAATTTCTAATCCATGACCCTCTGGTTATAGAGGAGAAATACACGTCCTTTGTTTTGATTACTCTATCAAAGCTATTCATTGAGGATTTTGTCACAATTATGACCACATTAACCTACAATGATCCTAGGCTTTCCAATCAACATCCTGGGGTTACCACTCACCAAAAACACAGGAGCTGCAAGAGAAGGTCAAAGGGTGGGAACCCTGCAGTGAGTAACTCACCTCCTACTTCCTCAAAAGCCTGTCCACCATCTACGAGGCACAAGTCAGGAGTGTGATGGAATACTCCCCACTTGCCTGGATGGGTGCAGCCCCAACAACATTCAAGAAACTCGACACCATCCAGGACAAAGCAGCCGCTTGATTGGCACCACATCCACAAACATCCCACTCCCTCCATCACTGACGCTCAGTAGTAGCGGTGTGTACCGTCTACTGCAGAAATTCACCCAGGATGCTAATGGCATTGTGGGTCTACCCACAGCGCATGGACTGCAGCAGTTCAAGAAGGTAGTTCACCCCCACCTTCTCAAGGGGCAACTAGGGCCGGGAAATCAATGCTGGCCCAGCCCTTGATATCCACGTCCCACATGCAAATTAAAATAAATTCTCTTTCCAAATTGTACCACACCACATTTCCTCACATGGAGGTCAACCTGCCCACTACACCTGTCTGCCTGTCTATAACAAATTTCCTGACTGTCTTGTACTTTGCCATACTCTAATGCATGTCCACTTGAACTCCAAAGATGTGACTGCTTTCAATAAGTGGATCTTCTGCTTGTCAGATCTCGGATGCTTATTCCAACTCAGGTTTGGTTGGAGTTCAACATCAGACTGAAAGGAGACCTGTCACCACCTGTACATCCAGAAACATTCTCTAAGCAGTGATCTCAACAGTGGCCTGCTTTGGTTGGTAACGAAAGCTCCTTTAGCCCTAATGACTACCATCCTGCCAGTTACCTGATCAATACTACACAACATTAGCTAGTCGTTTAGGATATTTCTGTTCAACTAGTCGCTTGATAGTTACATAACTCGAGTTTGCTGAAGAGATATATTTTGTCAAAGCTTTTGTCCTGAGGAGTGCACCAAACGTGTCTTTTTTCAACAATAAACATTTCAGGTCATTACATGTTGCTATTACAAACTGCCTGTATGAACACCGGTGCCCGCACAAGGCAGGTCACAGCCCATGAGGCATTGCCCAAGAAACTCAATCAGTCACAAGATCCCATGCCTTTGTCACTTACCGCCACCTGACCCCCTTCTTCATCAAGATATTTCTTCACATCTTTCATCGCTGTTAATGCACATCGTCTACAATTAGAAAGACACCAGGCAATTAATTATTCAAGTTGATATACAGCAGACAAAAATATAAAAAGCGACATAATGATATAAAGTGACCGTAGTCCCACAGTTACCTTCGAATTTGCAATCCTTCTTCATTGTCAGGAAGGAAAAATTCAAAGGATTTGTAGGTTTTCACCAGGTCACGACGATACTGCCCAACATTAAATGCTGTGAATGGAAGAGAGTTATCCATTTGTACACTCACTAATATAAGGCATCAGTGCACTGTGACACATCTCAAATATCAACACAAACTCATTTAATTGTGAAACATCACAAACAAAACATCGTTAAACTTGCTGTTCTTAACAGCTAAGGAAATGATACTGTGAAGTTTGCATCCCAGAACATACAGTAAGAAACTTCTGACACAGCAGAGCTAAACTGAAATTTAAATACAAGGGAGCACAGCCCTAATGAACCAGAGGATAATACTCTGACAGCAAGATGAGAAAGGATATTGAATGATACAGACATTGGAGAGCCCAGACTCTGACCATGGTATAGAGAGCTGGAAACTTCAACTATTCCCAATTTGCATACACAGCTTGATGGCAGGACTGAAGGCACAGTCACTGTGTGCCCCAAAACACAAATCGCAAGATGTTCACATGTAGTGCAGTGAGTGATTGGGAAGGTAAATAAAATGTGAAAAAAAGAAAACGGGTCCACACAACACCGAACTTTCCACTTAAACACACTTTAAGGCCTCTAGGATTTAATACCGAGTTTCACAACAAGACCTCTGTCCTCCATTTCGATTACAAGAATCCCCGCCATTTGTGTCTTGTTAGGAAGTGAAGTTTGCCAACCAATCAGCACCCTCCAATGAAGCATAGATGATATTTTGTTTTCCCATAAATTGCTATTCTTGTGAATTGCCCTGAGGAGTACCAGACAAAAAGCTTCAACAGAATTTGTCTTCTTCAGCAATACCCAAGTTTTGTAGGACCAAGCGATGATTCCATTATCGAGCATCTTATAAGCATGGCACTTTGAGAATCATAACGCAATCAGCCACAGTCAACATGTTTTGGTGAAAGGGAATTTACCAGAGTTCCACGAGAATGGAATAAGCAGGTGGATAAAAGGGAAAATAAATGATGTGGTACATTTTGATTTCCAAAAGGCATTTGATAAAGTGCCACATACAAAGTAATTTTCCAGACAATAGCGAGTTTATGGTCAAAAACAAAGTTGCTGGAAAAGCTCAGCAGGTCTGGCAGCATCTCTGAAGGAGAAAACAGAGTTAACGTTTTGCGTCCGGTGACCCTTCCTCAGAACTGATGGTGGCTAGGAGAACATCAGTTTATATGCAGGGCATATAAACTGACGTTTTCCCAGCCACCATCAGTTCTGAGGAAGGGTCACCGGACGCAAAACGTTAACTCTGTTTTCTCCTTCAGAGATGCTGCCAGACCTGCTGAGCTTTTCCAGCAACTTTGTTTTTGTTCCTGATTTACAGTATCCGCAGTTCTTTTGGTTTTTAAAGAGTTTATGGTGTTGGTCTGGATAACAGGAAGCAAACAGTCAGGATAAGTGGGCTATTTTGAAATTGGCAAATTGTAACTAGGAGAGTATCACAGGGATCAGTAGTGGAGCCTGAATTAGTTACAATCTGTGACATAGATGAAGCCAAGAGCTGGCTTGTAGCCGAATTTGTTGTTGAACCCAGTATGGACAGCAAAGCACACTGCAAGGAGGAAAGGAGGTGTCTTTAAAGTGACATTGATAATTGAAGTTAGTGGACCAATTTTTGGCAGATGCAGTGTAATGTGGGAAGACAGGGTATGTGAGATTATTCACTTTGGAAGGTAGAATAGAAAAGCAGAATATCCAGCAATTTCTGTTTGATTTCAGATTTCCAGCATCCATAGTCTTTTACTTTAATTTGTTTACCAACTGGTTCATCTGAAAGCAACTCAGTGGCACAGCTTCCTGCAATGACCCATTACATTCTGTAAGTTTATTTTACAAAATAATTTAATGCTGCCAGTCCTTTATCGAATTCTAATCTTGTTTACCTGTTGGTATGGGTCAGCATTACAGCCTATATACCTTTCAGCTGATTAATATATACACAGCTGGACTAACCCTCTGCAGTGAGTCACATTCAGGAACCTACCTTTCGTGGGGACCCCAATCCAGTTGAAATAGCGAGTCAGTTTCTTTGATATGTATGTTTTCCCTCGGGCTGGGAGACCCACCATGACAATGAGTGAGGGGGAGTTTGTAAGATGTGGGATCCATACTGTAATGATAAAAAGAGCGTACGATTATTGTCACAACATACACAAAACAATCATTTTAAATCCAACCTATTTCCAAACATTTCACCAGTAGCTTGATAGTTAAAAGTCAACAATTAGACCTCAGTAGGTGTAGAGGGACTGGGAGAATGTTTGTGCCTCAGTGCAGCCTGAGACAGTGGAGAACACACAAGGAACTGCTCACTGCATCATTAATCTGACTGCAGGGCTCTGTACATTGTTCTCCAGAATTTCCAAGTCTAAGACACTTAGTCCCAATCCAGCAATTGCTTTATGATGACGTGGAGATCTGAATTAGCTGCCTTCAAAAATCTGGACTGAGGTCAAACAAGACCACAAGATAACCCTAATAGAATGTACAATCTACCTGACAGTGGCTTTTCACAACAAAGATCAACTGCTAAAAAACTAGCCTTTATTAGATATCATCGTGGTGGACCATACTTCAGTCAGTTACCTCTATATGCCCAGCTCTGGCTCTGTGTTCCAACTTCCCACAGATACAAATCCCCACCACCTCCCCTGGCAGCACACATCCAGTTTCTCACTGACCCCCACACCCCCTCCACCTCCACCTCCACCTCTAGCCCCTCCACCCCCACCCCCACCACCGCCCACCCACAACAACCCCAGTTTCTCACTGAACCCCGTACCAGGTGTCCCCAGCTTGCTCTCAGAAAAGAGACTGAGTTGGAGTATAGAGTAATTTAAGAAAATTAAAATGACAATTTGATTGCTAAAAGATAATTAAGTTATTTCCAAACAAGGCAAGAAATTGTTTTTGAAACTGTCTATAAATCTCTTCTCATTAAAAGATTTAGAACAAAATTTCAGTTGTAAAGTTGAATGCTCTTTAAATTTGTTTGAAATATTTACAGAAAACAATATTTAAAACTTACAGCAAGTCAGACTACAATTACTAACTGCACTCTTAAATAAGAGCTGTCCGAGTAAGCAATCAGCACCTAACATGGAGGCACAGAGCAAGATGCTTTGTATCCTAAACGTGTGTCCAGTATAAGGTGACAATTGTTCAATTCCACTGTCTCCAGGAGCAGAGAGAGACAATTCAGCAGCTTGTGTGGTCTCTCAGTTTGTGCGTGTGCTCCAGGCAGCCATCTAGCAGTAAGAGGGATTGTGATGTGAGGTAAGCAGCAATTAAAGAAACTGTTGTTGAGATGATCCCAAGGATCACCATGATGCTAGCTGATTAGTCAATATGATTAGCAGGCAAGAGGTGAAGGCCACAGTTCCTCACGAAGCTCCCACGAGTTAGTCAGGAGGGTGATGACTGTATTTGCAGTGAGTTCTGGGTCAGGTCATTTCAAACTAAATCAGAGACTTGCTGACTACAGTGAAAAATTAAAGCAGCTTACTGAAGGAGATTGGCCAGTGCTGCACAGCTCATTCTATTTAAAGGGTACTTGCGACAACACAGGTATCAGTAACTCAGGAATGGGTCAACAGGTACACAGACTGACTGCTGCATCTGGGCACAGTGTCGAACCTACACGGCTGACACTAAACAGGAATAATTGAACACCTGACATCTCAAGCATTTGGATAGGCACGTCTGCTCCTAAGCCACCAGAAGAATATAGTATAACAGCGAGAATCAGCGCTCCCAGGTGACTGACAGAAACATGTCAGATTCAGAATGGCCCTGACCCAGTAGCTGGGGAAAGGATGATACTGCTCAGGCAAAATCTACAACTAGGTTTCTAAAATGAGGGGCTGCCCTTTTTTCAAAGTTCATTCACATGATCTTGAACTGCCTTCTTGAACAGCTGTAGCCCACATGCTGTAGGTACAGCCACAATGCCCTTAGGGAGCGAATTCCAGGATTTTGACCCAGCAACACTGAAGGAACGGTGATATATTTCCAAGTCAGGATGGTGAGTGGCTCGGAGGGGAACTTGCAGGGGGTGGTGTTCCCATGATCTGCTGCCCTTGTCCTTCTCGATGGAAGTGGTTGTGGGTTTGGAAGGTGCTGTCTGAGGATTTTTGGTGAATTTCTGCAGTGCATCTTGTAGATGGTACACACTGCTGCTACTGAGCGTCAGTGGTGGAGGGAGTGGGATGTTTGTGGATGTGGTACCAATCAAGCGGCTGCTTTGTCCTGGATGGTGTCGAGCTTCTTGAGGCACCCATCCAGCCAAGTGGGGAGTATTCCATCACACTCCTGACTTGTGCCTTGTAGATGGTGGACAGGTGTTTGGGAATTAGGAGGGGAGTTACTCGCCGCAGTATTCCTAGCCTGTGACCTCCTCTTGTAGGCACTGAATTTATGTAGTTGTCAGCTTCTAGTCTATGATGATCCACAAAATATTGGCAGCGGGGATTTCAGCGATGGTAATACTGCTGAATGTTAAGAGACGGTGGTTAGATTGCCTCTTATTGGAGCTGGTTATTGCCTGGCATTTGCAAGTGTTCTCCAAACAGAACCACATGTTATTTAAGATCCTCTATGAACAGCACAAAGGGATCTCAGAGAGACAGAGCTCAACTCATGTTGCAATGTCTTTGTACAAAATGTCCTTTGTAAATCAACAGAATATTGGACAGAATTAACACAAGAAAACCACAAAGAAATGATTTCATCATCATCTACATCACATTTCGTTCAGTAACAACTCCACAACTGTGTGACACGAGTACCAAGATGGTAGATATGAACTAAATTAACTCTAGCTCTCTTTATTATTTTTTAATTCCCACATGGAATGTGGGTGTCATTGGCTGGGCTAACATTTATTGCCTGTCCTTAGATGCCTTTGAAGTGGTGGTGGTCAGCTGTCTTCTTGAACTACTTTAGTACATTCAAAACCTCAGTGCTGTTAAGGAGGGAGTTCCAGAATTTTGACTCAGCGACAGTGAAGGAACAGCGATATATTTCCAAGTCAGAATGGAGAGTGACTTGGAGAGGGACTTGCAAAGGGTGATGTTCCCATGTACCTGCAGCCCTTGTCCTTTCAGATGGAACTGATGGTGAATTTGGAAGATGCTGTCCAAGGAACCTTTGTAACATCTCGTTGCCAGTGTAGTCCATGGTAAATCCCAGGATCTTATTAGAAACGATTAGCATCATACAGTACAAAAGAGGCCCTTCGGTCTGTACCAGCAAATTCAGTGATAGTAACGCCATTGAATGTCAAAGGGCAGTGGTTAGATTGTCTCTTATTGGAGATGATCATTGCCTGGCAGTTGTGCGCACAAATGTTACTTGCCACTTGTCAGCCCAAGGCTAGATATTATCTGGGTCTTGCTGCATTTGGACATGGACTGCTTCAGTATCTGCGGAGTCACGAATGGTGCTGAATATTGTATAATCATTGGTGACATCCCCACTTCTGACCTTATGATGGAGAGAAGGTCATTGATGAAGCAGCTGAAGATGGTTGGGTCTAGGAGACTACCCTGAGGAACTCCTGCAGAGATGTCCTGGAGCTGAGATGACTGACCTCCAAAAGCCCAAGGTCAAAGGAGATTGATAGGGGACATAATTGAGAGGAATAAAATTACGAAGGATATAGATAGGGTTGACAGGAAGAAACCTTTCCTTTTCATAGAAGGATGATTAACCAGGCGGCATAGATTTAAGATAAGGGAAGAAGAGATGTGAGGAAAATCTTTTTCACCTAGAGGATGTTGGGAATCTGGAACTCACTGCCTGTAAGGGGCGGTAGAAGCAGAAATCCTCACTGCAGAAGGATTTAGATGTGCACTTGCAATGTCAAGGCATACAAAGCTATGGGTCAAGTGCTGGACAATGGGATTAGAATAATTGAGATTGTTTTTGACAGGGTCAGAGGCAATGGGCTGAAGGGCCTTTTTTGTGTCGTACATCTGTGACTCTAACCACAATCATCTCCCTTTATGTTACTGTCTGAGACCGACCAGAGAAGAGAGCTGTCAGACTGATTCCCATTGACTCTAATTTTGTTCGACTTCTTTGATGCCACATTCGGTCAATGGTACTTCCTTGTTAACTGCTGACACTCTCAACCTCATTCTGGAGTTCAATCCTTCATCCATGTTTAGACAATAAAGACTTTGAGATGTTGGAGTTGTATTAGGCCATTCAGCCCATCAAGTCAGCTCTGCCCATAAGATCACAGCTGATCTCAGCTCCATTTTCCTGCTTTTTCCCCCCCATAAGCCTCGATTCCCTTCCTGATTAAACATTTGTCGATCTCATCCCTGAATATACTTAACAACCCAACTTCAACAGCCCTCTGTGGCAAAGAATTCCCCAGATTCATTACCCTCAAAGAAATTCCTCCTAATCTGTTTTAAATGACCGACTCCTTATTCTGAGACCCTTTGGTCCTAGACTCTCCCACAAAGGGAAAAAAAAAACTCTCCACATCTCCCCTGTAAAGTCACGTAAGAATCTTATATGTTTCAATAGGTCGCTTCCTATTCTTCTAAACTCCAATGAATATAGGCCCAACATGGTCAACCTCTCCTTATAAGACAACCCCTCTATACCTGCGATCAGCTGAGTGAACATTCTCTGGACTGCCTCCAATGCCAGTCTCTCTTTCCTTAGATAAGGGGCCCAAAACTGTTCACAGGATTCAAGCTGTGGTCTGACTAGAGCCTTGTACAGTTTTAGTAAAACCTCCCTACTTTTATACTTCATTCCCTTTGAAATATTGGCAAATAATTTGTTTTCCTCATTACCCACAAATGTATGCTCGTTTTTTTGAGGTGTGAGCCCTCTGTCCTGAAACTTTCTGTAATCTTTCCCCATTTAAATAATATTCAGCTCCTCCATTCTACCTGCCACTTCACAACACTGTGGGACCAAGGCTGTAATGAGGTCAGGAGCTGAGTGGCCCTGACAGAACCCAAAGTGACTACAGTAAGCATGTTGTTCTTAAATAGGTGCTGCCTGATGGCACTGTTGATGATAAATTCCATCACTCTACCGAAGATCAAAAATAGACTGATAAAGGTGGTAATTGGCCAGGTTGGA